AACAAATATCCCAAGGTCCAATCACCAACTGGCGGTCTTTACTTTCCAAGTGCGTGTATTTTTTATACTACTTCTACAAAAGGCTTTAAAATTAGTCTGCATGTTAATTAATTTAATTAGTCTGGTGTCTTTTTTGTCTCAAAAATAGCAAGTTTAAAGGCATGCTTGTACTTCTACTTACACTTGGCCCCACTACAATACATGTACAATTTTATTTATACCATCATTTGAGTTTTTTTTGATTTTATCTTAATATTCTTGGTCTTATTTTTTTCCTTTTTTATCCAGGGGAAGAAAATAAGAATTTTTTCCCCGTAACCCATGCGTTTTTAAAAGTCAACTAAAATGCCGGGGAACAAGGGCTGAAACCCCCTTTTCCTGTAAGATTAAAGGTGGGAAAGAAATGAAAAAAAGAGACAAATGAGGGTGGGTTTAAAGTGACAACAAATTTTTTTGGAAAAAAAAAAGTTTTAGGGTTAAAAGTTTTAAAAAAGAGAACAAAAATTTTTTAGTTAAAAATAGGAAGGGGGGTTTTAAAAAAAATTAGATATTTGGGGAAATAAGGAAATTTTTGGGAATTTTAAAATTTTGGGAAAAAGGGGGGCTTTTTTTGGAAGGGAAAGGGGGGGAAAAAATTTTTAAAGGGGGAGGAAAAGAGTTTGATGTGGGGAAGTTGTTTGGGGGTTAAAAAAAAGGGGTAAAGGGGGGGGGAGGGATAAAAATGAAATTTGCGGGGGGAAAGTTTTTTTAGTTTTGGATTGTTTAATAAATTTAAAGGGGAAAATATAAACGAGTTAAAATTCCTTGATAAAAAAAGGGGGAAAAAAAAATGAAAAAAATTTTGGGGGTAATTGTTGAGGGTTTAAAAATGTAGGGGGGATAAGAAGAATTAAATAAGGGGAAAAAAAGGAGAAAGGGGGTTTAGGAAAAGGGGTGGGACATTTTTAAAGGAAATTAAAATGAAAACAGAAAAAAGGAAAATTTTGGGTTTTTTGGAAAAAGGGTAGGGCAGGGGGGATGGGGGGGGGGAGGGGTTTTAATGTTTTAAAAGGGGGATTTGAAACGGGAGTTTTTAGGGGTGGGGCCAATTAAAAAATAAAGGGGAAATTTTTGAATGTGCGTGTGTGTCAAATAAAAAAATATTGTGGATGTTTGAAAGGGAAAAGGGAAACGGTGTTGGCAAATGAAAAAAGTGAAGGGGTGGGGAGTTTCAAGGAGGGGAAAAAAAGGGATTAGGTCAGGGGTTTCAATAAGTTAGAGCAAAGAGGAGTCCCATAATGTTAAAGGGTGCTATGGCGGGAAAAAGGGGGGGACTAAAAATGTAAAAATTCAAGGATTATGTGGAGTAAAATAAAGTTGGATGTAAAAAGGGGGGGTTATAGAAGCATGTATGCCCCGGAGAAGAGAGAATGTAAGGAGAGAGAGAGTTTGGGAAATTTTAATGAATGCAGGGGGGGTTTTGAATCAAGTGTGAGAGTAAGGTGGTTGGGGATTTAATGCTAAGTGGGTAAAAATGTTATGGGGGGATAGTAGGAAAAATTTGGGGGTGCCCGGGGGTAATGTAAATGGGAGCCTTTAATTGAGCTATGGTAAAAAAAATTTGGGAATGTAAAACATTTTTTATAAAAAAGAGGATAAATAAATAACAAGGTATGATGTAGACGTAATGAAAGTATTTGTTAGATTATGTATTGGGGGAAAAAAGGTTTGATGGGGTAGGCTCCGGGATGTACATTTTTTAAGAGGGGAATGATATATCAATTATTTGTTGTACTACAGTTAGATTAGGGGTTTGGGGGGGGAAAAGGGGGAAGGGGCACAACAAGTAAGGGGGGGGGGGGGTGGAAAAGTGTATAAAATAAGGGGGGGGGTTGGGGGGATTTTAACGATATTGGCAAAAAGGGGCTGGGGTGGGGCAAAGAGAGTATGGGGGTTGAAGAGGGGTTGGAATAGTTTTTAAAAAAGCAGTTTTTAAAAATGTGGGAAAAAAGGTGGAATGGAGGGTGGGGGCAGGAGAAGAGGAGTGATTTAATGATAAAAAAAAATTTTGTAAAAAAGAAAAAGGGGTAGAGAGGGTTTTTACAAAAGGTTATAAGAAGGGTTTTATAAAAAGAGCAGATATTGGAGGAGTAAAAAAAATAGAGATGTTGAAGAGGCAAAAGGAGAGCAGATAAAAAGGGGGAGGGGAAAAAATGTCAAAAATTTTAATGTAAAAAATTTTGGATGGAAAAAATTTTAAAAACCCGGGGGTTTGGATTTGTCGGGTAAAACAAAGGGGGAAGGGGGGGGAAAGGGGAATTAAGGGATGGCGGAAAGAGGCCTTTAAAAAGAACATAAGAACGAAGGAACACTGCAAAAGGGCCCTACTGGCCCATGCGGGAGGGTCCAAGTTCCTACCGGCTTAAGCCAAGGCACCCACTATCAGGTCAGGTACAGATTTTGGGGGGAAACACAGCAACCGCCCTGGTTCACAAGCTATCCAGGTCCAACTCACACCCCCCCACACCACTCATGTATTTACCCAACCTTTTTTTAAAAGTTTACACAAGTTCGGGCCCTCTATAATGTACTCGGGAGTTTGTTCCACTCACCCACAACTTATTCCCAAACCAGTACTTTCCTTACCCTTCCTGAATCAAAATTTTGAGGAAAAAGGAGGGGAATTTTTCATGCATGGCCGGATTTTATCCATCTTTTGGAGGGGAAGGGGGAAAGCAAATGTAAGTGTGGTGGAGGTAGTGGGGCATTATTAAATTAAAGGGGGTAAAAGCAGTGGAATAATGGATATGACAGAAATGTTAAAAGCAGGGGGGGATTTGTTGGAAGGGGTTGGTACTTTTGTTTAATAAATGTAAAAAAGGGGGGGAAGGTACCTGGGGTTTGGGCGGGGCATGTTAGTCCCTTTATAAAAAGGGGAAAGGGACAAAAAGCAAAAAATTAAGAGGAAAAAGTTTACTGAGTTACCGGGAAAAAAGGGTAGGGAAAAGGGTTAAAATTTTAAAAGAATTTGGGTAAGACAGAAGTAATTGCGGATGAGCAAGGAGGTTTCAGAGTGGGTGGGGGTGTGTAGATCAAGTGTTTACTTTGAAGCATATATGTGAACATATTTAGAAAAGGTGGGAAGTTTTTTTGCTTTATGGATTTAGAAAAGGCATAGATAGAGGGGATGAGGAGAAATGTGGCAGATGTTGAAAGTATATGGAATAGGTGGTAAGTTACTAAATGTGTAAAGCTTTTATGGGGGATAGGGGCTAGGTTAGGGTATGAGAAGAAAGGGAGAATACTTCCGGTAAAGTAGGGCTTAGGGCAGGGATATGTAATGTCACCCTGGTTGTTTTAAAAATTTTATAGATGGGGGTTTTTAAAAAAATAAATGCTAGGGGGTTCGGGAGAGGGGTGGGATTAAATTATGGGAACAAATTCAAAATGGGGTTGACAGTTACTTTTTGTGATGATACTGTGCTTATGGGAGTTCTAAAGAAAAATTGCAAAGGTTAGTGGATGAGTTTGAGAATTTGGGGGTAAAAAGGAAAAGTTGAAGTGAACATAGAAAAAGTAAGGTATGAGGGTATCAAAGATTTAGATAAAAAAAAATTGGAATCAAATTGGGGAGGGGAGTATGGAAGGTGAAGTTTTAGATACTTGGGGGTTGAAGTGTCAGCGGAGGGGTTTATGAAAAGGGTAGGTTAATCATAGAATTGATGAGGGAAAAAAAGGTGGTGGTGGTTGAGGTATTTTGGAGTCAAAAAAAGTTATTTTTGGAGGCAAAAAGGGAATGTAGAAAGTATAGTAGTACCAAACTCTTATATGGGTGTGAACTGGGGGGGTAAATGCAGAGAGAGGAGACGGTTGGAGGGTGAGATTCCTGTTTAAGGGGAATGGTGGGGTAAATTTTATGCAGAAAATTCGGAGTGTGGAAAATTAGGAGAAGGTGTGGGTTAATAAAGCATTAGTCAGAGGGCAAAGGGGGTTGTTGAGGTGGTTTGGTCATTTAGAAGAATGGATCAAAATTTGAATGAAAAGGAAGATATTAATTATAGGGGAAGGAAAGAGGGGTAGGGGTCACCTCGAAAGGGTTGGAAAAGAAGGGGGTTTAAAGGGGGTTTTTTGGGCGAGGGGTTGGACTTCCCGCAAGCTGCATGAGGTGTTTGAAGGAGTGAATGGGGAAAAAGATACTTGGGACCCGACGATCTGTTGGAGTGTGAGCAGGGTAATATTTAGTGAGGGATTAGGGAAAGGGTTTTTTTTTGTCGGGGGCTTGAGTCCCCGGAAATGGGAAGTACAATGCCTGCCTTTAAAGGGGGTTTAGGTATTAGCATTTTGGGGGGATATGTTGGTATCTTTTATAGTATTGTTCTAAGCTGCAAAAAACAGGATAGTGGGGTGGTGAAAGTGTTGTGATGATGAAAGTTTTTCTTTTGGGGATTTTCTTTCTTTTTGTGTAAAACCCGCCTCGGTGGGGGGACGAGACTTTTTGAAAAAAAAAAAAAAAAAAAAAAAAAAGTAAATCTATTTTTTTTTGAGAAAAAAATTCAAAGGGAAAGCAAAAGAATGTAAAAGGGGAAAGGGGACGTGATAAAACAGGGAAATGTTTTTTATGCCGGAATGTCCCTTTTTTGTTTTTTCTACTATTTTTAAATTTGTGTGAAAATTGGCAAAATTGCAAATTCTGAGCACGAATTTGGTAGTTGAAATCGGTAAATGGGTGGTTTTTGTATCATTCGATAGAAAAAAATAGAGTTTCTAGTGAAATAGTTTGATTTTGTTGATAGTACATGGAATTTGGCCAAAAAAAAGGGTTCAAGTGGGCAAAAAACGGCGATGGAAACTGTCGAGACTGCAACTTCGCGGAGCATAATTTTCCCTAAGTTTTCCCTCAAATTTCATACTTTTGGTGTCAATATGATTGGGAAAAGATTCTCTATCTTTTCATAAGAAAAAATAATTTTTTTTTTTTGAAGTTTGTTAAACAAATACAGCACAATATTATTAATACTCACTGCAGCAGATCCCAAGACTGGATCTCTGTAAGAAGCAGCCAGCAGGTCCCTGAGAGGTAGAAATGTTAACTAAATATTAAATTTCATTCAAAACATGTATCTAGAAATAGTGGTGCATATACAAATATTGGGACAAGGAGTAAAATGAACAAGAGCAACAAAGCACTTCCTTGTGAGGAATTGCCAAGAAAAGTAACACAGCAGGATGACAAAATGTGTTCCCAATCATAAACAAGGATATCATAGATACCAACTCTTAGCCTGTGGAACAAAGGTCATTGTAGACTGCAACATGGAATAAGGGTTGTTACCTGGTTGGGTGGAGGTCAAGGATCAAATTCTTTCCATCCACTTGAAACTCCAGTGCCATCCTAATTTCTTCATTGGTCTGGAAATGAACATTCTGATTCAGCAAACATCACTCCCAAAAGCAGTGTTGTCAGCAAAGTGACAACTCTCACCATCTAATGCCTACTTTTATTGGAAAATAATTTTCTTCTCTACTACATATCCTCGTAAAAACTCTTAACTGCTATAAGTAACCTACCACCTATTCCATACACTTATATCTGCCACACTGCTTCCCTATCCGCCCTACTGTATGCCTTTTCCCAAATCCATAAATCCAATGAAAACTTCCTTACAGGTGTCCCATAGATCGATCGCCAGCCCACTCAGCTCACACAACTGAGGTCCGGAGTTCGATGGTATGGCTGGAAATCATTAGGGACATGTTTCCATAAGACACCTGCTGTCCCTGTTTACTCATCATTATACAATGGGTACCTGACCAACCAGCATCACGTCAAAGCAATGGAGAAGATCCAGCCAGATTAGTAATCAGCCCAGCCATCATCTGATCTTGGTATGATAACCATGCTATGCATTTTGTACAGTAAATAAAGTGTATGTTGGATTTAAACTGATGTTTGATTTCATTTGTTCATTTAACTATTTGTGTGCACCTGTATGGCTGTATCGCTGGTGCTGTGATAAGCTGGCCTCAAGGTTTCAACTTTAAGCACAATTTTTGACTACTTGTTTGTGGTTTATTGGGTTCAAAATCTAAATTAAGCTAAATGCAAACATGAACAGACACAGAATAAAATGAACGAATACAGTGAGTAACTGGAACTAATGAAGGAAACAGTCAAATAAGCGAGCTCGAGCTGTTAGGGTGCTACGGGGCTTCAGTACAGTGACAAGTGTGTCTTTGTGGGTTACTCGCATTACATCACAAAATTAAACAATTGCTATATTTGCACTAGCAGCACTTGATCAACATTTGACCTTAGCATTCTATATCTTATTAGGAAGCTCTCAAGGTCTGTTCTAAAAGTCTTAATAGCAAAAGACCAAGAAACTAAACTGAATCTGAATTTATGTGAAAAACTTAGTGTTTAGTGTTAGATTGCGCTAATTTTTTCGGCTGTTTAGCAGTTTAGCGTAGCTAATTTTTTAGTTAATGGATTAGCAGTTAGTGAAGCTAGCTTTTTGGTTAGCTGTGCCCACCACTGTTATTATTATTATTAATTATTATTATCAAAAAAATGTTTACTTATATGTTCCAATCTAAACACATGGTTAACACGTCCCCTACTCTTCCTAAAACCTTGTTCATCTGTAATCCTGCTATATGAATCTGCTGAATTTTATCATCTAATTTTCAGCAATAACAAGGTTTCCTAAACAGAACGAAAATTTCAAATTTTAATGAATGGATTATAGATTATCTGATTACAGAAAATGTATACACTTACCATACAATACATATCTGAAAGAAAAAGTATGAGCATACCGAAAGTTGGTTTGCAGAGTGAGGATGTTTAATGGCTTGCTTTGATGGATAAGTAAGAAGGGGCACAGCCATCACCTCAATTTCCTCTTCAAAAAACCATCCTGCAAAACAAAGCAGATATCAGAAGACACTATATAAAAAAAAATATAATTGCAAATTGTTACATTCTTGTCTGAACAATTTAACATATACTGTACACACTATACACAGTCCTAAATGATGTATTGCCAATAATAACGAAGAAAACACACATTTTGCAGACGTGCAATTACTAAGACACCATTTTGATTTTTTTTCCTTTTCAACAGACTGAAATGTTGTCCCAATAAAATTTTGTGTAAAATGCATCTTTTTACTCACAATACTGTACTATTGAGCTTTAGCTTACCTGATGTTTGTGACTTGGAGCTGTCCATTTTACCAGCAGAATTTAAACGACTTTTATTTATATTGCCCTCTGTAACCTTCTTTGCTTTGCTATCTTCACTTGCCTTCATTCCTTCTGTTTTATCCTTTAAGTCTTCTCTCTCACTCATATCTTCTACATTTTTTATAAGGGTTTTCTCTGCAATGCTCAGAGATAAATTTTTCATCATTTGTACTCTTTCTTGCTGCTCTTTAGAATTTCCATGTAAATGCATCCATAAATCAGGTCTGATACTGTGTTCAGCCTCTTCATTACTTCTGTCAGAACCACCACCT